AGTTAAATAGATAAGCGGTTCTCCTGGAATTTTAATGACTAGATTTATGTGGAAACCAACAATACATCCACCCAACAAGCAGAAAAAGATGAAAACAATAAACACTTTTTCAAAATGTGATGAGAATTATTCAATAGAGCCCTATATCAGCATATTGAGCTTTAATTTGGCACTGCTATAACATCACACACCTTGTTATCAGTTGAATGAATGATGTAGTATTACTTCTTACTTAATCTATTGCTAAATGGTGCCAATGGGAATATGGATCAACAACAATGGCCAGATTCATGGGGAATTGAAAAGAACTGAAAAGAACTACAGAGCTGCTTTACAGACAAGCAAATCCTATGAATTACGATAAAACTAAGTGAACACCTCTCTCTAGTGAACACCAGTAATTAGTGAACATCTCTTCTCAGCACATATTCCACTGGCTTCTGTATAAAATCACTTCTCTGTAGTGAACACCTACAAATAATGAAGACATTCTTGTGGCTCTATAGGTGTTCACTGAACACTGTACACCGTACACTTCTTTAAGGACCTTATTCATTTGAAGAACTCAAAGTGATTTATTCAAAACATAAAGAGTCAACCTTACACAGTATGAAAAATGCATGTGAAAGGGATCTTTTAAAATGTGTATATAACCCCCAGACAGAATTACATGTTTTAGTTTATGATAATAGTGCTTCCCCTATAAAAACAATATGGCGGCTCTAAGGCGAATCTACTGGATCAGTCTATTTTTATTAAGAAATTGGGGGAGTTTTGCAAATTCCAGTTTATTGTAATCGTCTCAAAGATAAAGTTATCCATTTACAATGATTATGTTAACATCGGGAGAGTGAAATAGCCTCTGCAAAGGATACATGTGCATCAGCCAATATGAATCCTTGTACAATCCAAACTGCCTTATTTCATTTCCATTTACAGGATATGGTATGAGACCATGATGTGTGGAATTACGTGATGAGTAAATCTAGATGCCAATTTTTCCTATTAAACACAAATAGAAGATCTTGAAACTTCACTCATAAAATGTGAAATTGATTTGTCAAAATGAAAACCTCCCTTTTATAAATGTGTGACGATCTTTACTAAACTATTCCTACATAAACAGGCAGAGGTGTTTTAAAGGGGCAACAAGGACTAGAAAATTCGAAATTTTTTATTTTTTCTGAGCTATCAGGTCAATATTTGGCTTAAAACCTTCTTTGACATACCTATTTTCTTAAAATGTATGTATAAACTATTTAATTTCAGCATTAAGAAGTGTAAATTCAGTTCAAAGCTTCTATAAAGGGAGTCCCACTTATAGATTTTAAGATCCACCACATTTCAAGAGGAATATCAGCTGAAATAATGTTCATCCGGGGGGTTTCTTTGTAGATAATGAAAATATGTGTTAGTCTTGATGATATATCCAAACTTAGATATATTTTGACACTGGTCGATGATCGTTGAATGAACCCCATGCACTAATTGTTGCACCTTTAAAGCAGTAACTTATACTAAAGGGTGAGCAACACAAAAAACGAGCATTTGATTTGCTAAACAATATGTGTTACCCTTTAATTGTAATGCCTGGCAGTACCATATACATTTTATTTGTATCCTGCTGTTACAAAAGCGATCCTAATAAAAAACTAGATAAAAGCAATGCCAAAGCGTAGCAAATCCCATCGAACAGCCAAAGCTGGCATTTTTACAAACAAAATTAAAGTATATAGCAAAAATGGAAGCCATTTTTCAAAATGACCACCTTCTACCACAAGTGTCATTAGACAGTGTGCCATGCTTGTAGTTATCACATACCAAATATGAACAGAATCGCTCTACTACTTTTCTAGTTATTGTAAAATAGGATAAAATGGTGGCCATTTTGAAAAATGGCCGCCTTCTACCAATAGTGTCATTAGACAATGTACCATGCTTATAGTATTCACATACAAAATATGAACAAAATCGCTACACTACTTTTGGAGTTAAAGCAAAAACCGTAAAATAGTGAGTAAAGGCCGCCATTTTTCAAGATGGCTGCCATGTGCTTCTTTTAGATTTTCATTTCTAGCTTTACTAATGTCCTATATAATTTTTTACATTTAAAACATATTGCTATTACAGTTTTAGATATTGTACTTAAATTACTGTAAAATCGGCACTAAAATGGCCACCATTTTTGAATAAGTTGCCATTTTGAAAATCGGCTTTCGAGCAGAACTTCTACTTCCATAGGGTCAAAATCGGGTCAAAGGTATTTGAGTTATTGCCCGGACGGACAGATGGACGTATGGACATCATTGATTGTTGCTGCGTTGGTTTCTTCATTCATTTTCTTCTTTCTTTGTCTTGATTTGATTGCGGTGTTAGTTATCTTTCTTCAGGGTCCACAGACTTGAGACTGCGCAGACGGAGCCATTCCCTATATCCCTCCGAACTTCGTTCGATGGGATAAAAATACACTTACTAGAATGATGAAGATATCGTATTTGGTGAAAGAAACGCACATGACAAACAAGAGGAAAGAAAAGATAACTAAAAATATAATATCTTTCATTGCAGCTAAACATACACCTGAAACATACACCTGAGCTCTCTAAAGACCAACAAATCATTATATTTCAAATTCTATGAAAACTCATTGTATCCTCTATGGACTCAATCTTTGCATGTAACAGAGGTTTATTTGAGCCTATACGATTCAAGACGTGCAAACCTTGAATATTACAAAACAACGATTGTCTTTGAAGGCTTTAACCTTTTTGTAATATTCCCCATAGTACGGATGCTACAGTGACTGATGTAATTAGCTCAGCTTCTCTGATAAACCTGCTGTGATCCAACGTTGTAACTCTCAATCTGACGAAGCTTATTTTTCTTATCCTCATACAGCAATCTGAACAATGTGATTGACTTCCTTTCTTCATCATATAATTTATAATACAAACCACACACCTATTTATTCAATGTGTTGTTTGTTAAGGTTTTTCTCACTCTAGTTTATGATAAAACCAAAGGCAACAAGGGCATTTCATTTGCGAGATGGTAGCGCACTAAACAATAAGCTTTCTGACAAATTGACATATAGTGCTTTTCTAGATGTTAAATTCTAATCTACATGCGAAGCGTGTTTTCCAAGAAAAAGCTAAAGTCAAATATATCAGGGTCCAATATATTAGGCTGGTCCACATATCCAAGAAACCATCAACAATTTTTATTTTTATTTTTTTTAACAATGGATTTTGAAAAAGATTTTCTGAGAAATACCAGAGTAAATTATTCAACTAGTCTTGATAGTACTTTAATGTATTTCAAAGGGGTTTTTGGAACGGTAGAGACATTTAGGTTTTGAGGATCCACTTTTACATTAGCGATAAAAATGATGATATCAATAAAACTGAAAAAAGATGACAAAAGAACAAAAACTTTGGACTGAAGGAATTACCATAAGCAGATAATAGCGATATTTGATAATATTGATTTTATCACATATAGAGAGAAATTTGATAATATCAATATTATCTAATACTCTAGCAATAAATTTGATAATTCTGATAATTTCATTTGTGCCCTGTTGGGTTTCATAAATTAAATAAAAGTTCATATTTATTTATTTATATTTCCCACATATACTTACTGTATTATCGCCTATTGGCGCACAGTGCGCTTGTGAAATTGAGGTGAAATACCATGGAATTGGAGAGAAATCAAACCAATAAAGTCCCAATAAGCGCACATATAAGTTATCATTTTGATTGGGCGATAATATGTGAAAATCAGAATTCGAAGCCTGGTTTGAAATGAATATTATCTTACTTACTGTTTTTTCACGCCAAATCATGTCTTGTGTCATTCATTTACCATAATATTACATTTTTAAAGGACCAACTATTGGTAAAATAAAGAAATATTGCGATATTTATCAGGTAAAAGTTTTGACTTTTATTTTATCGTCATAATAACTACCGCGAATCAAAGTTTGCGCAGCACACATGAGAAAGTATGTTATGGCGGCTGAATCAAATAACATCTCTGAGGTTTACCAAATAGACTCAACAATACGAGGATTTCATGATTACTATGATAAATATGAAGCTACCCTAAGGGATATTGTCACTTGTGAATGGGAAGAAAATAATCCGTACGACAAAAATGCTGTAAAAGTGCTTGTGAAAGGCCCAGAAATGAAATTTGTCTAAAGGCTTGTATATCTTGACATAATCCCTTATCACAGGTGCATATCTAAGGCATAGTCTTATACAAGAATCTAGGTCTCTATAAAAACAAGTTTGACTGTATATGACTGAACCATATCCACGATGCAGGTTTAACCGAATACGGCTAAGCTAGGTTTCTATAACAAGTTTGACTGTACATAAATGAGACATATTCACAATTTTAGGTTTAACTATATAAGGCTAAGCTAGGTTTCTGTAACAAGTTTGACTATATATGACTGAGACATATCCAAAATCCAGGTTTAACTGTATAAGGCTAAACAAGGTTTGTGTAACAAGTTTGACTTTACATGACTGAGACATATCCACAATGTAGGTTTAACTATATAAGGCTAAACTAGGTTTCTATAACAAGTTTGATTGATATGACTGAACCATATCCACGATGCAGGTTTAACCGAATACGGCTAAGCTAGGTTTCTATAACAAGTTTGACTGTACATAAATGAGACATATTCACAATTTTAGGTTTAACTATATAAGGCTAAGCTAGGTTTCTGTAACAAGTTTGACTATATATGACTGAGACATATCCAAAATCCAGGTTTAACTGTATAAGGCTAAACAAGGTTTGTGTAACAAGTTTGACTTTACATGACTGAGACATATCCACAATGCAGATTTAACTATATAAGGCTAAACTAGGTTTCTATAACAAGTTTGACTGTATATGACAGAGACATATCTACAATTGCAGGTTTAACTGTATACAATTGACATCATAATAATATTAGGTAAGATAAATTGATCAATTAAGAAACAATAACCTCTCTTAGGGCTTCCTTAGAGAAAAGCAACAACATATGCAAACAGCAAAAACTACAAATAGAAAAGCTGAAAAAGGAAATTATATCAACTACCAAGAAAAATGATAAACTCAATAGTAAGCTCCAGTCCAAGATGAAAACTGCTGAAAGCGCTACACAATGGCAAACTGATGACTTGCAGAAAGATAATTCAAAACAGATACAAGAGGAAAATAAAGATGAACAATCTGTACAACCAACACCAAGACAAACACCAAAAATGCTATACATTGCAGCCAGTAATGGCTATGGTATATCAGCAGCAATAAACAGTCAATCAAACCAAAAAATCGTTGCCACTGGGAATGTTCATGGAGGAGCAACCATAGAATTTATCAACTCCACTATTCCTGAAACTGTTTGCCGAATGAAACCTGACACTGTGGTTGTACAATGTGGAACCAACAATATCACCGTCGAAAATACAACTACAACAATATCTAAAATGAAGTCTCTAATCACTACCCTCAAAACAACTAGTAACACAAACAAGACCAAAACAGCTGTCGTAGAAATACCTTATCGGAGAGATAAACCAGCCTCGCACAAGCTCAACACCAAGATTGACGCCATAAACTCAGCTACCCAATCAGAATGTAAGAAGCAAGACATACACTTCATTAGAATCAATACAACTGACTATAACAAGAGCATCCTAGGGAGACAAGGGCTACACTTCAATGTTAAGGGACGACAGCATGTAGCAAGGAATGTACTCAAAACTCTGTACCCTAACGATGTAACCCGAAATTTCAATGACACTAACATACCAAAGCATTGCTCCAATAACAGTAATACAAATCAAATGGATTCTTTGGACCCTATCTGGATCAACAGAAATGTAGTGCAATAAGCAGAGTGGGTCACTATACTATGAATACTGAAACTGAGGTAGAGACTACAGGCAAATCAAAATACCCTTGCAACCTCACAGATTCAACAAATGAGAATTCTAATGAGAACATTGATATATTATGTTGGAACATTAATGGACTAAGTGATAAACTGACTGACCCAGATATTTTTGAAAATCTAATCAAAAACCATAAAATTATATTTCTACAAGAAACCATGATCAATCCTAAGGATAACATATTCATACCAGGGTACCATTTTATCAATCATGCTAAGTTAACAAAGAGCAATAAGAAGCATTCGGGTGGTATTGGTATTTTGATAGAAGATAATCTATATTGTAACAATATTGAGATATTAGACAAAAAATATGATTTTCTCTCATGGATAAAAGTCAATATTCCAAATAATGACCCCATCTTACTAGCCACTGTCTATATTCCCCATAAGAAATCATGCTTTCATACACTGGACTTTTTTGAGATTCTAGAGACTGAAATAGCCATAGCACAATGTAGTACCTCAAACATATATATATGTGGAGATTTTAATGCAAGAACGGGGATAAAGGCAGATTATGAAACAGAAATATTTGGATCTGACAGTGAACTCAGTTACCTTTTACCCATACTCAATAGCACTTCATTTTTTACTGACAGGGCATCAAATGATATAAATAATCAAGAAATTCTTAGAACAAATGGCAAAGAACTATTAGAATTATGTAAGACCACAAATATGCAAATAGCCAATGGGAGAGTGGGTGAAGACAAAAATATTGGAAAATACACCTGCATCAGACCTAATGGTGCTAGTGTGGTAGATTATGTAATTGGATCATCAAAGGCTCTCAAGAACATACAAAACTTTAAAATTCAGGCAAAATTACCAGAATCAGACCATTGTCCTATCTCATTTTCTATACTGACTCCAAAACTGTCTACTTCATGCAACTCAAATATTAATTGTACAACAGATTTATATACTAACATTGCTAAGTTTAAATGGGATGAATCAAAATCGACAGTTTTTCTATCAAACCTGAAATCACCATTATGTAATTCTATACTCCATGAAATATCACTTGACTTAAAAGACCAGGATTGTCCAATAGATCACATAGTTGATAAACTCAGTTTAACACTCTCACTTGCAGCAGAAGGTGTTTTTGTCAAAACAAAATTAACAAATAAAACCACCAAATTTCCAGCAAATAAATGGTTTGACGAAAAATGTAAGAGCCTGAAATCAAATATTCACATAGCAGAAAAATCAGGAATAGAAACAAGTGCTCTACATAAAGAATATAAAAGTCACAAGCAAAAGTGCAAGCGCCATTTTCATAACACAATGTACAATGATCTATTATATAGCCTAAATCATAACCCAACTCACTTTTGGAATTTATTAAACTCAACCCAAACAGCCAACAGAGAATGTGTCAAAATAAGAGCATCTCCATCTGCAATGTTTGAAAACTTCAGCAAATTAGCCAAACCTCCTACACAATATAATTTTAATGATAAGCACAATGAAAAGATTATTGATTTTCTTAACACTTTTGACAGTAACAAAAAATATGAAAATATGTATGCAAACGATCCAACTAGTATTCTTAATACTCCAATACTTAATGAAGAAGTTGATCAAGCAATCAAAAATATCAAAATTAACAAGTCCCCTGGTTTGGATGGTATTCCTGGAGAATTTATCAAATCATCGAAATCTATCCTTAATAATATAATCACCCAAATATTTAACAATATATTCTTCACAAATGAGTATCCTGAACAATGGGCTTTTGGCTTAATTTTTCCAATCCCCAAAACTAAGAAAACAAGTGACCCTGATACACTTAGACGAATCAATGTACTACCAGTACTTGGAAAAATTTTTGAAGGTGTTCTTCATAATAGACTAGAATTTCATACGGTATCTAATCATAAACAGGACATACTACAAGGTGCATATGAAAAATTTAGTAGAACATCTGATAATCTATTTATTTTAAATAATTTGATAGAAAAACATGTCTTTATCAGAGAGCCCTTATATTGTTGCTTTATTGATCTGAAAAAAGCTTTTGATTTAATTGATAGAAACATGCTCATATATAAACTTATTCAAAGAGGTATCACAGGCAATATGTTAAACATCATTAAATCAATGTATTCTAAATCAAAATCTTGCATTAGAACTGATGCTGGTATCACCGATACATTCACAAATGAGGTGGGTATAATTCAAGGCGGAACCCTCAGTACTTTCCTCTTCAAATTATTCATATCAGATGTAAAGGATGCTCTAAATACTGAATATGGTGCCTTCATCAATGATCTTTCAATAACACATCTTGCATGGGCTGATGATATTGTGCTCTGTGCACCAAATCCTAGTTATTTACAAAAACTTTTGGATGCATTTGAAAATTACTGCAATTCTTGGCGTCTTGTTATAAATTGTAAAAAGACTAAAGTTCTTGTCTTTGGAAAGAGGAAAAATACACCTATAATTAACTTTTCTATCCTAAACCAAATAATTGAAGAAGTGTCAGAGTATAAATATTTAGGCTGCATTCTATCCAACAAAAATCACAAATCAAACTCAAATCATTTAGCTCAAAAAGCAACAAAAGCCATTTTTAAACTAAGAGGTTATTACAAAGTATTAGGTAATCTACCAGTAGATGTAGCACTAAATCTTTTTGATAAATTGATTCTACCAATACTTGAATATGGTAATGAAGTACTTACACAATCTAAAAGTTTTGAGATCATAGAAAAATTACAACTGAGATTTTTAAAGCAACTTTTACATGTTAAAACACAAACTTCAAATCTAGCAATACTTGGTGAATTTGGAAGGTATCCCCTCATTATAAGAATGAAAGTTCAAAAAATAAAATATTGGTGTCGATTACTAACTCTTCAATCTCAACACAAACTTAATATAGCGTATCAACAGAACCTTCAAATCTATCATTGCGGTGGGAAATCATGGGTGTCACAAATCGAAAATATTTTGAAAGAATGTGATTTACAAGATATGTGGGATAATCATTTAAAATCTGATATTAACATTCAATCATATTTAACACTTCATCTTAAAGTATCAAATAAATTAAGATCTCTTTACAAAAACCAATGGCTTGCTCTAATCAACGATCACTCAAAAAACCCATGCCTAAGAACATATTCTTTATTCAAAGTTGAATTCAAAAAAGAGCCTTACCTTATGATAAAAAACAGCAAACTTAGAAACATATTATGCAAAATAAGGCTAAGTAACCACAAATTAGAAATTGAAATTGGTAGACACAAAAAGAAAAATGGACAAAAGATACAACTAAAAGATAGACTCTGTTTAAATTGTAACCTAAATCAAATAGAGGATGAACTACATTTAATTTTTTACTGCCCTTCTTATACAAACCAGAGAGCAATATTCTTCAAAATACTAGCTGAAAATATTCCTATTAGCAACTTAATGCCTGAATTCTTAATAAAGGAGATCATGAACAGCAAAATTAAAATATTAAAATATTTTGCCAAATTCCTCATAGATTGTAACAATGTAAGAGCATTCATATCCAGTCTTTAACATTGTATAAGTTTGTAAATATTTGTAAATTTAGTTTGTATCATAGAATGTACATTTTGTAGCAATTATGTTTGTCAAGCCTATTTGAAAAGGTGTTTTCAGTCTGAATGTATATATCAACACTACATTAGAATCATGATGTAATGATTTTTGTATTTTTCCATTTTGCTTATGACTGTATATTTGTATATAAAACACATGTAAATAACTGTATAGTGACCCATGTGTCGGAGAGACTGACATACATAAGAGTCAATAAAAGAATATATAATATATTCTATTCTTTTATTTTTTACATGTATATATTAACTCAAGCCTGAATCGTGTATACCCAGCCGGTACAATGTTATTGATTGTAGCAACCCTATTAACATTGAACCAGCCTCCACGATAAAACCTAATCTCTATTATTACTGTGCATTAGTGATCACATCATTTTTTAAGATTCATACTGCTTCACAGAATTCTATATTTTATTTGATGAATCTGGCATATATGAGGTGATTATCCTCATTTAGTAAGAAATAGACACTTTGGCACTATCATATACATGTTATAATAGGCCAATAAATAATCAATTAAAAATAACAATAGCTCACCATGTGAACTGAAGGGGCAGCAAATGACAATAAGGCACAAACATGGAAAATGTCACCACCTGTCATTTGTTACAGATGCCGAACACAAACCACTGAACACTGACCATCAAACACCAACCGCTAAATGCCGAGTGCCTTAACACCAATCACCGAAAACAGTTGGACAATAAAAAATGTGACAATTAACTTTTTGTGGTAGTTAAAACTAGTTGAGGAATGATATTCCCTTTTAATGTATTTTCTAAAATATCTGAGAGTCCAGACTTTATGAAAATCGTTAGATTTTTAGGTTTGTTGGTAATCCTAAAAAAGGAAATATGTTTGCACAGCTGCTAAAAGGCAAGGACTAATCTAAGTGTTACAAAAAAGTCCAAGAAAATGAAACAACCAAGAGTACAAACAGCAAAAAGGAAAATAAAGCCCAAATATCCCAAACTATGTTCTTACATGTAAATATACATGATGCCCTCTCTCCACCATTCCTGAAAAATCCAACAGCATGATGAGAGGTCAACACTAGGAGTCCCAAGATGCACTTCTTTGAATATCGATTTGAGCAACAATATTTCTGTCACGATACGAGCAATAGAAATAAAAGTGAACAATAAAAGCCAAATCTTCAATAATCAATTACAATTTGCAAAAGGCTTCCAAAAGAGGAAAAATATAAAGAAAGAAAGAGATATAAAAGATAAAAGCTGTTGCTAAAAGTAGAAAATGAACTTTGTTACATTATATTGCCTTGTCAATACAAGTATCTTAACAATATAGATCCGATAAGAAAAAACTCCTCAGAGTA